TCTCGGGGATCTCGCTCCAGATGAGATCTACTATCTAATCAGATCATAACAGATCTCAGGCCCAAGGCCCAACACAACCCTAATTCACACAAAGGTACGTGCATTATTTATACGAGACTCATACTCCCACAAACACTAACTTTAGCATCGGAGTCTCTTTTGCAGGTACCACCCCCATCTTGGAACACCAGCGTACCCGTGAAGGAGGCTCACCGATCTTACCTGGCGAATCACCTCTACGGCAGATTTCCGGTAAGAACAAAATATATTGATTTTTTTTTCATATTAATATCTTAATAACATTAATTAATATTGTTGTGATTAGTTGATTAGTTGTCAAATTCTAAGATTTAGAAATCTTAACGATTTTTGTTGTTTGGAAGTTAGTTTGAGTAGAGATCAAGTTGACGTATTAAGAGAAGGTATGCAAGGTATTTTTTAATAAGTGAAGCTCATAAATTCATTTATTTAGAAAGAAGATAGAAGAAAGAGGGGCTCTAAAGCTAAGAAGAATCACTTTTTCTTTCAACTTTGTAGATTTTCTTCTATCCTTCTCCTAAGAGTGGATTTTAGTGGCTAGTTAGAAATTTAGAGTTTTAAAGTCGAGAATCAGAGTAATGGTTGTGCCCGTGCAGAGTTGGCCAAGAAAACTCCATCTTCTTCCTTCTCCCTCTATTCTACTTGATTCAGCTGTAAGAGAAACTATAAAATAGATTCTTGATGAATTGTATAGTTGTAAAATGTATAATTCTCACTAAATTCGTGGTTGTGTTGATGAATGAGATGGAATTTCATGTTATGGTGTCTTGTTGTTCTTGAGCATATTGAGGTGAATTTGGCCAATCTATCTTAGATGGTTACATATTGATTATGATGTTGGATTTGAGTCGTTTGAAGAGTACAAGTATGTTATTATGTGTTGCATGTTGAACATTTTATGAGTTTCAGGTGGATTGAGCCAAAATGTGAATCTACCAAGTGCATAATTCATCATCCTGTCAAGCACAACTTCATGGCACTAAGCATGATCCACGCCAGAGGCTATCTGCCTCATTGATGTCAGGGGAAAGATTGGTAGCATTGTGCATGATTTAGAGGAGAGTTTTTTAACTTGATAATGTCAAGCGTGGGTTAAGGGGTGTCAAGCGTGGATACCCTTAGAGCTCTTTGACTTGGTGATGTCAGACTCTAGTTGAGTGATGTTAAATTAATGTGATTAAGACATAAACTCTCTACCTATAAGACACTAGGTGTTAGTGTTGCGATATCGAACGTTAGTTAGGTAGAGACTCTTTGGCTAAACGAGGCCAAATGTAGGTTTGACCATGCTAGGCATGATTGACACAAGGGTTTTCTACACCATACATATATATATATTAAGCGACACAAGGCATTATTAGTAAAATTTAAGAACTTTAAATTTAACAGTTGGATCGATGAAATTCAACATACACCATAAGTTATTAAGCGGAGTAACTTTATCAAGAATTACTTTGTGACTCATTTGATTCCCCTTCTTTCTCTCTCTCTCTCTCTCTCTCTCTCTATATATATATATATATATATATAATTTACTAGTCTTTTTTATGTAACAACTTATTAGAATATATATTTAAAATTTTATTGATATTTTTTAATATATGATTGTTAATTTTAATCATTTTTATTGTTACTGAACGAAATATTAAACATTTTCATTGGATGCAATTTCCGATAGATTATTAAACATTTTCGATAGATCAAATTTTCAACAGAATATTAACCATTTTCGATGGATATTCCATCAAAAATCTTTTGTCGGAAATCATGAAATTTTTGACAAATCATTATCTATTGGTAATATTCCGTTGGAAAATTCTGACTTAAGCATTCGTCAAAAATTTTCGTCAGAAATTCCTACATTTTCAACAAATATAAATCCGTTAGAAATATTTCGTTGGCAATATAACTTTTCCTACATATTTTTTTTCATCGGTAAAATCCGTTGAAAATATAAATTTTCTAACAGATTTGTATCTGTCAGAGATTATCCGTTGATAACATAACTTTTCTTATAAAAAAAATTTTGTCAGTAAAATCCATCAAAAATATAAATTTTTTGATAGATTTGTATTATTCGTAAAAAAATTATCCGTCAGTAATTTGTATTTTTCTTGTAGTGTGTATGTAATAAGTTGAATTACTCACAGGTGGTATGTTGTTGTATGATTCTAGATCATTAATTATTGATTTAGGATGATTATTGTTGACATTTAAGTGTCTTATAGATGCAAGTTGATGAGAGTTAAATATGTAGTAATGTGTATGTAGATAGAAAACTGAATATTGTATATTCACATTCATATGTTAATATAAAAAAAATGTACAATAAAATTTTTGAAAGTTAATTAATAAATTAAAAAAATTAATAAATCATTGACATAAATTAGAATGAAATGAAGATACATTTGTTAATTGTACAAGTTAATTTTTACCAATTAAAAAATTAAGAAATTTTTAACATTACAAAGTAGATGGGT